TCGGGCATTTTATGTGAAAACTCAAATCGAATTGCTCCCTAATTAAAACTACAGTGAAAGTCTAATCACTAAATTAAATTTTGTATTAGAAAATCCTAATCTAAGGACAAGTTCTAAAAAAAACTAGAAATACCAATTAATCATACCAATATAAATGAAAGTAAAAAAACGATGGGATAAATTAATTTAAACAAGAAATAAAATAAACCAACTAATTAAATAAAATAGCAAAGAAAACACTAGTCTTGCAAATTCGAATAATAGAAAAACAAATTAAATAAATTAAACTTAAGAAAAAAATTAAATTATAATACAAGGTGAAATGCAATAAAAAGCATAAGGAGTATAATGTAACGAACATCACAAATTGAGGATCAAAATTAAAATAAAACATAAATACTATAATCAAGGATCAAATTAAAATAAACAGAAATTAAATAACTAAATCAAAACAAATAAAAAACATATTAGTGACATAAATGCAAAAGCGCGCTTAAACTAGGGGGACTAAAGCATGATTGTCCTTTTTTATATAATCCTAAAATGCTCTATTAAATGAAAATACGAAAATTACAAGATCAGGCAAACAAAATTAAAATAAAATCAAAACAGTCCTTACAGGTGACCAAGGTGAAAAAACACGGTTACTTTATGGGGACCTAAACCAAATTAACCCCTAAACTACCATTATAAAACACACTTTATTCTTTTTTTTTTCATTTTTAACCTAAAACCAAAAAATTAAAAAAACTCTCTCAACTCTCCTTCACTCCCCCTCGCCGGCCCCCTTGACTCCATCTAGACCATCGCTCTGGCCACCACACAGGGTGGCTGAAATTCCTAAATCAAACCCCAAATAACCCTACTCGCTCCGATCTACTCACCTAGCCCCTAACCAAAACCTAAAACAATCCCAAAACCTTCATACAAGACCCAACTCTCAAGAGTCTTTTGACTCTTTGGCTACTTTCACCGGTGACTTCCCCAATGAACTGAGTCCCCCGAGAAAAGCTCTCTTTCGCTCTAGATAACCCCTTTTACCCCTTCTCTTACTATTTTTTTAATCGTATAAAAAGGAAAAAAATTGAAAAAAGAAAAAAACCACATTGAATTTTTTTTCTTGGTATTGCTTTCCGAAAATGAGGGAATCCTTTTTACACTTTTTGGGTTTTTATACCTGAAACTTTACAAAGAAAAATAAAAAAAATATAATCCCTACTTGCTCCTCTGACCATCATTGTTTCTGATGATTTTATTTTTAATGTCCCAGATTTTCGTGCTTTGTTGAGATATCTGATGAGATTTGGTTTGGCTAGGTTTGACGACGGTGATGATGGCGCAGCTAGATACGGGTCAGACACGAGCGACATCTGTGGAAACCATCTTGGCGACGACGGCTGTTGAAGATATTAGGGTTAGGATTAGTTTAGGTTGTTAGGTATTGGGCTAGAGTTATTTTAGTTTGGGTCCGAGTTTGGGTTTATAATTGGGCCTGGTTTTAGGTGTTGGGTATAATAATATTTTATTTATAATAATAATAATCATCATCATCATGATAATGATAATTAACGGTTGAAAAATGATGATTACATAACATATTTAAATGATATCATTATCGCCATATAACTACTGTTATTACAACAGCGGATCGTTATTTAAATCCCATAATATGATGTAATCACTCCCAAGGAAACAAAATTAAAATATTACATGTAATATTTAGCGCTGATGCAAATTAGAAGATTCGTTTCATTATTCTTCGAGGCAAAATCAACTACATCTGAAACTGATCGGAAATGACCCAAACCATTAATGTCAATGGTAATTAGTTGGTGGTCGATGGGTCCGATCCACTTATGGCGGTGTCTTGTGGAGTTAGTTGTAAGAACAACAGTTGTCAGGGATGAATCTACATTAAAGGTGAGAGGGGCAATTGTCCCTCCCAAATTTTAATGGTTTAATTATTTTTAGATTACTTATATCTTTGAAATCATTATAATTAAGTCTTTGTCCCTCCCAAAATTTACTGGTTTAACTATTTTAAAGACCTTTTTAGTTTTAAAATGTAATTATGTATTGACCTCTAATTGTTTTGGTTTAATTACTCTTTAAGGTCTTTCAATTTTAAACTTAATGAAATTAAACCATGACTTCTTTAAATTTTATGATTTGTTTCAGTTTAGACACCTTATTTGTTTCATAATCAAACAATTTATCCTCTCGTAATTTAATCTTTATTTCATCCCTGACAGTTGCATTGGCGATCGAGTTTGTAGCTATTGATAATGACGGCGCAAAACAGAAGAAATAAGCAAAAACAAAGAAAAAAACAAAAGTAGAAGAACAAGAAGCAATTAAAAGACTCCACTAAAACACTTCATTGGAGAATATAAATGGTGGACTAAGCATCTTGGCAGGAAGAGCAACATACTTCAAAATCATGACCGATTAGACGGGGAAATAGAGAGATTAGAGAAAATAGATTGTAAACATTGTTTTGTAGGTTTTGGGAGATCTAGAAGTTTTTAGGTGAAACTAAGGATAAATTCGGAACCATAACAGAAAATGGTTCTAAGTAATGATATTTTAGGTTTCTAGCTATCGTCAATGATGGAGATCAACATGGACAAAACTGTTTAGAGGTTGGGAGGGGCTGGTGCCACTCCCAATTTTTTTTTTTTAATTTAAATATTATTCAAATAAGATTTTTACCCCCCTTGAGTTTTAGATTTAAATACTTAATAGACTCTTATTCTTTTTATATAAAATCATTTTGCCCTGTCAATATTTGATTCTAACTCCGTCTCTAATGATCAACGACAATGACTGGTCACGACGAATGGATTTATTCAATTAGCATCTTACATAAGTTAATTGCTATTTTTACCCATATAATTCTCTTTTGTAATTTGATCCTTTAGCATATTTATTTGTTTGTTTGTTTAATTACTATGAATTATGAATTATTTTTATTATTGTTGTTGTTATCGACATATTTTTATTTTGTGTTTATAAAAATAACATACATTTTCATTGAAAGGATTTTATATTTTTGAAATATAAGGCAATGTTTTTATATAAAGGTGTTTGGTGAGATAGTCCTCAAATTTATAGGAGTATGATCATGTTAATTATTCGAAATGAGATAATAATGTTCTTAAAAAAATAAGAAAATGTTGTTTTGTTACTACAATTAAAGAGATATTGCCCAAAAATAATGGATTGCAGCTTTTTAAATTATTCGTAATAGATAAACATTATTTTTAAAATTGACCAATTGAGTGAGATGAATATAGAGTGAGTGACACATACGGATGTACACCACTAATGATATGCACCAATATACACCATTAAGAGAAAAAATATGATAAATTTCATAAATAGTCATTAAATTTATTAAAATGGTTTCATTTGTCAATTAAATTTTTAAAAGTTACAAAATAGACATTAAACTTCATGTTTTATTAAAAAATAGATAGAGACCGTGAAATATTGTTAAGGATGTGATGTGTCATACTAAATTAATAGGAAATATCTTATTTGTCCCCTCAATTATAACTAAAATTTCATTTTGATATCTTTTCAATGATTTTAAGTAATAATTTCAAAAAGAAATTTGAAAAGTTAGAACTTTATAAAAATATATATAAACACAGTTTTTTTTAAATTAAAAATTATATATATATTTTTTTTAAAAATTCATTCATCAAATTATTTTATATTCAATTATTTATTAATCTTGGTTGTAGTTGTAAAATTAAAAATTTATAACTTTCATTATCCAAAAAAATGAATTATCAAACAATTTAATTATTTTTTATTAAACGATGTGATTCAAGCACTTGACTTTTGTTTAAGAAGTTTAAACACAATTTTTAAAAATACATTCAAAAAATTATTATATCACATTAATGAGGAAAATACATCCAAACTTAAATAAAAATAATCGAAACAATCCTTAACTTTTAATAATGTATCAAGTAAGTTATATGGTATAAATTAAATATTTATAATACGACACTAAAAACAATATTTAACTTGTTTATATCCATTTTTTTAATTCAATGAACATAATAATTTTTTAATTAAAATTAATAGTAAAATGAAATTTTAGTTACAATTAAAGGGTCAAATGGGATATTTTCTATTAATTTATCATGCCACATCACATCTTTAATGATAGATAATGACATTGTGCCCATTTTGTAACAAAATCTAAAGTTTAATGTCTATTATTTAACTTTTAAAAGTTTAATATCTAAAAATATCATTTTGATATAATTTAATGTCCATTTATAAATTTTACCTTATAAAACTAAGGGTGGATATCAATGTTTGACATCCATTCTAAATTTTCCAACTGAGTGACTCTTTTTATAATAAAAATTAAAAATCAATGCAAATATATATATTTTTTGTTTTCAAACAAATTCACTCTATTAATAAATCTTGTATTCATATTTTAATTCAAATGACCATAGATTGCATTTAAATTCATATTCTAACTCTAAAAAACAATACACTATTTTTTTAAAAAATATATAAATTTTGAGCATTGTACGAGTGCCTTAACCTTGCCCATACGCGATTGACTCTCGAATTTAACTTTACTCTAATTTTAAATATATACCTCCCAAATTATATTTTTCAAAAGAGAATTTCTTTAAAAAATAATTTTATAAGTGTTCAACCACACTTATTCCAAAATGATTGACGACTACTAAATTTTTTAAGTTGTACATTTTTACAAGAAAAATATTTTCTAATCAAAAAACGATTTCAACAAATATTATACGAGTAAATAAGTCAAATTATGCTAAATTAAAATACAGGGATAAATCCCAAATTTGAGAAAAGTAGAGGAATCGAAATCCGAATTTGACCTTTAAATTAGATAAAGAAAATTAAAAATAGTGAAACCTATTGAGGTTTTAAAAGCTCAATACATGGATTGTACAGTAACGAAGAAATGAATTAAATGACAAAACATTATATTAGAGAAAAACAGTCTAGTTGAAGTCATTGTTTCATTGCACTGTATAACCAGTTTCAGCACAATTTGTTGATGCCGGAAGGTGGTGAAGATTCAGCCAATTTGGGGAAGAACTGTTCCCTTTCAAGTGAGACATGAAGACGTGCCAACACCTTAAGCACTGAACCCCAAGCAATAGGAGCATAACAACACGCATAGCCGAAAACTGCTAAAGCTCTCACAACTCCATTAGGGTACCATGGATATGCCATGACCAGAAGAGAACCGAAGATCCCAATCAATGGCACGAAAACTTGAATGGCAGGCAGCATGAATGAATTGATTGCTATAGATGACAGAGCAATGGAACCGAGGAAATACAGTGCCCAGCCTACTAGTGGATGAATTGTGCGAGGAATAATGGCGAAGGGAACTACATTTGCCGCGAGAATTGACCAGATTGCTATGAACTTTATGGCAGTTTGGATCAAGGCTGTGGTTTTGTCTGAGTTCCGGTAGCATAGTTTGGGGATGGTGGGACGTGCTAGATGTGTCATCACTATTATTCCAAGGAAGATAATCGATTGGATTATCACAATAGGCATCTCAGCTGCATAGCCTAGAGTTTGACGACGATTTTCATGCCATTGAATGCCCAAAGGCAAGACAGGCCAAGACCACCAGTACCATGGCTTCAACCATAGTGCACCAGGGAAAGTGATCACACTGTTAGGTCCACAAGGTACTCTCCAGCGAAGTCTAAGATCTGTTGACCAGCAGAAGAAACAAAACATTGTTTGAGGTTATTGCAGCTCAATTCATTACAAGTTTGTTTTAATATCACCACCAATTTACTCACAGTAATAAGAAGCATCCATTTGGTATCCCAGAGGAAGTCTGTATTGTCCATCGAGGTTGGAGCCATTTAAAGGTGGGTGAAACATCGGCTGGTCGAGCAAGTCGGGGAAGTAGGCACCAATAAATCCCTGGTCCGCACCGTCAGGGTTTTCTTTACCAGTTTCCAGTGAGTGAATCATATCTTTGAATACCTCCCCTGATGGCTGCAGGAAAATTTCTTTTTAAGTACCAAAGTCGGTTCACAAAAATAGCCAAATCAATCTTTTACCTGCAACACAAAGAGGCCAGTATGGAAGATACAGGGGTTGATAAAGACGGCACAAAACTGTCCACATTGGAACAATTCATCAGTTTTCTGCAGGAAAAGATTGTCGGCGTCCAGCATGACCACTCTCTCATAGTCCACCAAACTCCAAGCATATAGTTTATTCAGTGTCAACTTGAATCTCTTTTGTTGACCTGTGTAAGGATTATTAATGTTCTCCACCCTCACCACCTTTGCTCCATCTTCCTCTTCCCTGTGCCGCACAAAACACGACCTGTCAAGCTCATGTCCATTTCATTACAATAAGGAACATCATGTTTTTGAAAGGATCAAAGCAAAGGACAAATTTCTAAAGCGGTTTTGCATCAAACAAGCTACTCTCATGTGCTGTTTGCTTGACCAATACAATACCCGAGACCATGTCTTGTGCTGGTTGAAAGTGCGTGTGGGGTCTGGTGATTTAAATGGTCTAATATCGTGGATCCACTAGAAATAAAATTAGGGCCGAATGCGTCCACCCTCAGATAAAATTATAATGGGCGGTGCGTTTATGCGGGGAAATTTGTGCCAATCACATTCCTCTTTCTATTTATATATTATCTGTATCGTACTTATCCATGCTTAACACTTACCGGTAATTGACCCCAGCGAACCAACAGTGTTTTCTAACACGTAGTTGAGCAAGTAACGTCACACTTTATCACTATTCTATGGAAACTGTCCATCTTATTATTTTTTTAATTTAAATTACTTATATTTAATTATAAAAAATAATATATTGATGGTGACCAACAAGAACATACCCTTTTGTTTTCCACTTTGTATTAATTAATTTCTTTTAAGGTAATTAATGTAGAAATTATGGACGTTACAACTTGGACCAGAAACAGAGTTTCATTGAATCAAAGGGTTTCATTTCTACTGCTTGTGCTTCGTTAACTAATCTCTATTGATCAGGGAAGAATACAGAATAAAATTTTAAAATTTTAGAGGAGAATAAATTTATAAAATTATAAGGAATGAAAATAGATTATTAATAAAAAAATATAAAAAATATATAATAATTTAAAATTTTATGATCATCTTTCAATTCATATGGGACCTTGTATATAATATTTATTTTAATTTAAAGGAAATGAAAAGAAGAAGAAAGTGTTATACGATTCTTACAAAGCACGAATCCACCGGAGGGGAACGTCGAGGGAGGCAATGACGATGAGATCAGCGTCTACTTGGAGACTGACAAGGGATTTGATCAATACACGCGTCGCAACGTAGAACTCGTAATCTCTCGGCGTCCCCATGTACATCATCGTCGCATAAGCGTTCCGGTGTTCCTTCTTCTTCAGTTTAACACCATAAAGAGCTGTCGTTTCCATCGTCGCCATCAAGACCAGCAACACTCTTAAAAAAGTAACAACAAAGTTTCGTGTCTCCATTCGTTTCTCTCTCTCTCTCTCTCTCTCTCTCTCTTCTCTTATCTGAGCTTTTAGGTTATGAACTTTAACAAAAACAAAAGGAAACTCCGATAAGTAAAGATTTTCCTCTAAAAATGCTGAAAAAGAATCAGCAACGGCTTTGGATGATAACTCTTTAAGCTTTCCAAAGCATATAAATAGGACGGAACGGAAGCAGACGAGAAAGTTCTTTAAGAGGAAGTACAGGTGGGGGCATTTTGCAAATATTATTTTCCATCTGTTCCTTTCTATTGATATTTATACAAAAGTTTATCAATTTGCATCGTGACCCTTACTTAACATCAACTTTGACCTTAAAAAAACACTTCCTTTAATGCAAATTATGAACTTTTTATTTTATCAAATTATATCATTACGTTTGATATCAATTTTTATGTATATTATAAAATTTTTAATTAATCAAATTATAATTTTAAAGATTTAATTATTTATAAGTTAAGTCATTTAGTTTGATTCTCTTAATAATTCTAACAGAAAAAAAATAATTTAAAGGCGATATTTTAGATAATTATTTTTATCTCACACTATAAGAATATTTAAAAAGGCAAATTATATTAAACGTCAATAAATATGAAAAAAGACATGTATGTTTGATGTTATAAAAAAGGATAAACTACATATTTAGTATATGAACTATCGCTTTTGTTCTATTTTAATACCTAAATTTTATTTTTTTCTTTTCAAAATCATACCTAACGTTTAGTTTAGATTTCAATTTGGTATCACACCGTTAAAAACTTAACAACAATGATGACGTGGAATTACTTTCCCTTTTTTGATATTCCACGCATCTTGTAATGTAATTTTCACGTCATTGATGTGCTTAAGTTTTTAATGGGGGTACCAAAATGAAACTTAAACTAAACGTTAGGTATGATTCCAAAAAATAAATAAAGTTTAGGTACTAAAATATAATAAAAATGATAGTTTAGGTATTAAATGTATAGTTTACCCTATAAAATAAAGCAAGCAAAAGAGTAATAGAAGAATTAGAAGTATGAGAATAAAGAGAAAAATGTGTTATTTTATTAATATGAAGCAAGAGGGTTTGTCTAAACTTTATATTTATATCCATAAGGAGTAGATATAATATAAAATTTTAATCCTAATAAACATCAATATCCTAAAAGTAAAATATATCAAAATCATATTTAATACATAAAATTTAATCACAATGTACATTCACAAATAAAAATTATGCATAGCAATTAACAATTTTTTATAATTATTTTGATGGGATATGATGCTTAAGTTATGTATGTATGTATGTATGTATGTATATGAAGTTAAGTTTTTTATGATTACTTAAAAAATAAGTAAAAATGATTGAATTTATTAATATTAGAAATTAAATAATTTAATTTAATAAATTTTAAGAATTGTGACCAGATGAAAAGGTTGTACAAAAGTAATGATACACACTATGAATTATCCTATAAAGTATACCCAAAGTCCAAAACAAGTGGATGCCGCTCAATGTTTAAGCCGCCAATAGATGAACAGTTCTGACAATAGTAAAGAGTATTGGAGTACAAATTATGTGAACACGTTAAAGGACCGGAGGTATAGTTAGACCGAGAGGAGCAGTCGGGATATTTATTCTCTTAAAATTTTTGAATTATTATATATTTTATTAATATTTTTTAATTTTTTTTATAAATTTACCGTCTTTTAAAATTTATTCTTTTAAATAAAATCTTATGTTTGTCTCTTATAGAAGGATTAAGTGTTAAGAAGATTAAAATCAAGCAAAAATCTTTAAAAGTGTACTTAATGAAGTAAGAAATATCTTTATTTTTTAAATTTAAAATCTGTAGATATTTTGGAAGAGTTTCAACTAAAATAAAAATATATAATTGTATATTTTAAAAAGAAGTTGAAAGAGTAGGGACATCAAAACATCAAAACTCAGACGTGGAAAAGTCAAGTCAGAGGAGGGAGACCCGAATTACGCGATTGTGTGGAGGATTTGAGGTCTTTTTTGACTGGGTATATGCGCTGTATTAAAGACGCGTTAAGCAATCGGTTTTGATTGGGGGGCAAAGACAAATGGAGTGTATTCATTCCGCCACGTACTTCTCTTTGCTTCGCTTCTTTCCTGTTTGTTACATTCGGTTGTTTCCTTGTTTGATTCCTTTAGTAATAGTACATGTATTTTCAAGAGCATTGTATTAGTATTTAATTAAAACTTGGCGGATACAATGTTAATATGGCCCACTACTCCACGTGGGATTTAAGTGGAAGAAAACCAAGAATTCATTGACGCAGTCCTTGCTATTTCATCAAATAAGGAGGTTCATGCCTAATGGCAAGAGTGGGTCTACTCTGCTCGCATTTTCATACACATGCATCATATACGATGAATAGTACTCATTTCTCACCAACCTTTGCCATTGATTGAAACAAGGGTTGGTGGGTACGCTGTCTAGACTTTTTCTAAATTTTATCATTTCTCTTTTGTAATACCTAATTTTGTCCTAACAATTCAAATCAAATTGAAGGCAATCAAAGACAAATTTAAAGATTGTTCACGAGTTGATATTGGACCACGAGTTGATTTTGGGTCACTTCAAGTAGCATTGGTGGCATAAGAAAAAGTAGTTCGTGGAAGCTTGGAGAGAATTTGGCCGAGAGAATTTGGCCACGAATGATGGGTTTGAAACGTTTATTTAATTAGATATGGTGACCATTTGTTCATTGAGAATTTTTAAAGCCCAAATTAAGTCAATTTTTTTTGTTTACTAAAACCCAAATATCAAGATTAAGTGCCCAAATGTCCATATATACAGTCCAAATTTAAGGTCCAAATGTTCATAAATACAACACAAAATATAGTCCATTAAAATACCAAAAAAATATATGATATGGCTAGTCCAAATTCCAGCCCAAATAATCCACTTACTAAATACACAAAATAGCCCTCATCAGCCCACAACTAGGGATGGGCATGGGTTGGGTCGGATTTTTGGTCCACCGACCCGACCCGACCCGAGAATAAGGAATCATCCACCTTAGATCCGACCGACCCGACCAAAACAAAATTTCACCCGACCCGAACACAACCCGATATATAACTTAAAAACTCGACCTGACCCGACCCGAAATAATAATAAAAATATTATTTTTATTCAATAAAAATAGTGACTTAATTGAAAAATATATATATAGAGGGGTATTATTATAATTATTCCTAAACATATAAGGTAAAATTATATTTTTTTTAGGTCGGGTCGAGTATTTTTCACCCTAAACCCGAACCCGAAATTAAAAAAAAACTAGATCCGATCGGGTCGGGTCGACACCCGTCGAGTTCGGGTCCCATGCCCATCCCTACCCACAACAACCCAGCAACATCAGCAGTAGTCTACGCCTCGTCAGCTTTAGACGTTGCCACTGAACCAACCCTAAGTCAACACCAAATTACTCGTTGGTGCCTCGTCATCTCCCACACAAACGCCAAGGTGATCCCAAGCCCTCGTGCTCCTCCACAGCAGCAACCGAGCCCCATCAGATGCTCCATCAGCAGCCACACATGCAAAAAAATTATACAAAAATAGGGGATTATAAAGCGAAAAAATAGTGTACACAAAGGGGGTTTAAAAAAATAGCAAGACTCCATGATTTTTTTTCTTCAAAAATTTCTTTGTAACAGAGCAAGACTCCCCTCTCATCTTTTTATCTCATTCAAACAAAAAGAAGCAAATACAAGAGAACGTTTTTTTCCTCAAAGGTTTTCCTTTTTCCATTTCCAACAGTCATTCTTTATTTTCTTCAAATAAAATAGAGCCTTAAATCGATGAGGGAAGAGTGATACATTTACATTAGTCATCGGAGCCTTTTCGGTTCGGGTTTGCCATCGGGGAGGGGTCGGGGAGGGGCGAGGCAGTCGACAGATCGGAGGCCCTTATACCTTTTTTTTAGGGTTTATATGTTAGCTTGGGGCTTTGGTTTTAGGAGTTTAGAGTCAAGAGTAGATGATGGTTTCATTTTAGGGTTGAGTTTTGGTTCAACCGACCATTGTTGGTGGTGGTCAGTGGTCGGGGCTTGTAGTTATGTCGCCAAGAACAGCTGGCCTTAGGGTTTTCGGTTGGGTATGGGTTTCAATTAGGAAGAGGTAGCTGCTTTACGGCTTCAAGTGGGTTTATTCCCCCATCTATGGCACCAGTCGGGGTGAGGAGGGGTCACCAAGTCAATGGTTGGCTTTTGGACGAGGTTGTTATGGGGAGCGACGTCACATGTTTGTGGGGAGGTTGAGAGTTCGAGAGAAAAAGATGGGGTTGTGTTTTAGGTTAGGAATAGGTTAAATGAGTTTTAAAATGGTTAAATTAGGTTATATATTAAAGTTTAGGGGTTATTTCCCTTTTAGTCCTTATAATACCCCAAATATCAAGTTAGTAACTTTATTGAAAAGATTTAAAATTAGAGGATTAATTTGAATAAATGTTAAAGTATAATAAATGATTTGGAAATAATGTTTAAGACCAATTAGTAACAATGGATGAATAAAGAGGGCATTTTGGTCCTTTAAGGAGAAATAAATTTAAAATTCATTTTTATTAGGGATTTTGTAACACCCCCAACCCGTACCGACCCGGATACGAGTCTGAGGTGTCACATTGACCTTTCAAAACATTTACTTTTACAAAAGAATGGATTTCAAATTAATTTAAAATAATTGGTTTACAAAACATTTCAGAGCGTATAAAATTTCAATCTCTTAATTACATGCCAAATATATTCATTAAAACAAAATGCATATTAATCATTTCTTTTCTGATCTGACCTTCGGTAAGGATAAACTGATATGGCTTGCTCCTCTCTGCTTCTTAATATTTCTCGGAACCTACGTGTGAAACACTCACACTCTAAATCGATAACTTAGTGAGGCATAAATAAACTGAAATATAACATCTTAATACTAATTCCTACTATGCACAATTCATATAATCATATTAAACTACAAAACACATTATGCATGAAAACATAAATACATACATATACATATCATCTCATTATCCTTATTATTATTTTTATCATTATTAACATTATTTTCATTTTTATCTCTTAGTCATATGTTCTATACCTAACATTCTTAACCAAACCATATACAAATCATCATATAATTTCTGTAACATATTTCATATCACAAAACATACATATCTCATATAGTATATT